GTGACACAGGGGAAGTGAAAGTTGAAGTTCATTTTGGAAACAAGTTTAAGTGTCCTTTGGAAGCTTGAATGAGACATTTCTCCTCCGTCTCCTCTCGCCATCATGGTGCTCTGCTTTTCCCTGAAGTGGCTTCTCCTGGTCCTATTTTCAGGTAACTACATGGGAATCTGAGAAGAACATAGCAGCTGCTGCTTGCAGGGTGATGAGCATATAGATCTTGCTATAGGGTAATTCTGTATGCACGAGATACCTTCTAGCGAGGATGGTGGTGCCTCAGAGAGACTGCAGTGTGCACAATGTCAGTAGACCTCTGCTGAGTTAATTTAGCATCCAGTTTTTAAAAATAAAAACCAAGGGTTGGAAACATATCCTTCCGAGCAGAAACCATGGAAAGTTTTCCCAGAGAGGTCTCTGTGTAGAACTCAACGTATATACAGATGAATAGAGATGGAGGAAGCCAGGGCTTTTAGAAAAGCATTTACAATAGGACAGTTTCACTTAAAAGGCATTTATCAGTACCCTGTTTCTATTATTCTGGACTTTTCTTGTTTCAGTGAGAGTAATATTTGGGTGGATTTGTCAAACAAAGTATTTGGTCGATGATGATAACAGCCAGCTGTGACTTTCTAGGAAAGAGAGTGAATTTTTTAATTTCTGCCATAACAAAGCTGCTTTTTTTTCTAATGTAGCGCTATGATAGATGACCAGCTTTACCCACAGAGAACATTGACAGCCACCGTGGTGAAGATAATGAATAGGTAACCCAGTCCTGTCAGTCTAAAACTCTCTGTATACAAAATCGGATGGTGCTGTATGATCTGGCTCTGTGTCAGACATGTGGCTACAGGCTTTGTCTCCCTTTGATTTTATGAGACTGGGTTGCTGGTTAAGAGTTGGGATTCATGCCTTTATAGCATTAACTACTAATCTGGCATGTTTTCAGAACTGACTTTTCACATTGCTGTGTTAAAGTCCCTGCAAAAACAGGTTTATTAGAGAAGTGGCTCGTTTCATTTAGGAAAAGAGCTAATGCACACACATCAACCTTGTGCAGCTGAATCCAGAGGAAAGATGTTTAAATGTGTGTTCACAAGGGAAGAGGACATAGTTGGCTATGGGTAATTAACCCCCACCAACATTTGAGCTCCTTTTCTCACCTAAATGAACTCTAACTTATATCAGCTGGAAAAAATTGTTTGGGAAGCTGTTAACACTAGTGAAAAATGTAGATAATTGGTACCACTTTTTTCCATTTGATTGAGTTTCTAGGCGCCGTTACATTAAAAGCACTGTTTTATCTGTAATGTAAGTGGGAAGAATAAGTATCCAAAGCTCACCTGGGTAGCCTGGTGGATTCATGGTACAGTGGTGTCCATCCAAGGGGCGACTTAGAGTCCTACGTGGGTTATCTGATCTCAGATGATTTTGATTAACAAACTTAGCACAAAGGAGTAACTGTACTGGAGATGGGGTAAGTACATAAAGCCATGGAATAATTGCAGATTGGTATTAGTAGGCTGCATCTCTCTGCAAATAGCTATATGCTAGCTACATCATTGTATACAATAGACCTTTGACGTTCGTTTTATTGATTAATTCAATGGCTATGGACAATTTAAAAGTGTTTTGTAACACCCATTGATCTGAGCTGGTCAGCTGTGTAATCCAATTACAGAAAGAGAATGGTACATCGAAACTGGAATGCAGTCCGGCATATTTTAAAGAGTTGCAGGGATGGTGGGTAGTTTCCACAGTGACTTCTGTATTTTCTCTATTGCTTTATTGCTTCACAGTGTAAGTGCTCATGGACCCATGCTTTAAAATACAGCCAAGCTGATTTAGATACAAGTTCCTAGTAGAAGAACTGCTGTAGGACAATGGGTTGTGTTGGTCAAAGAGCTGTTCTGCTTTCGTCTTCCTGGCTGGAGGACGCAGTGCTTTCTGTGGCTGGGCAGAGATGCATTTTGGACAATGGCATCAGAGCCACAGCACCTGTTCAGACCAGGAGTCAGTCCTGCTGCATACCACTGCCCAAAGGGGGAAACGCACACATCATGGGGGAACTGCTTGGAAGGGTAGCAGGGTTGGGACCTTCATTAACTTTTATACCATGCCCTTTCTCAACTCCAGTTGTCTCCTTGTCTGCAGGTTTCTCGGTCTCGGGATCTCCAGTGAGAGGTGTGGTGGGTCAGGATGTCACTTTGTCCTGCCGCTACAGTGTTAGAACAGACAGCGATCTCACCACGATGTGCTGGGGCCGGGGCCCCTGTCCTGCTTCTCAGTGTTCAGACCTAATTCTCTGGACAAATGGCAGGAGGGTGACACAGCGGCAGGACAACAGATACCAGTTATATGGGAACCTGCTGAGAGGGGACGTGTCCCTCACCATCCGGAAAGCAAGGGAAGCAGACGCAGGGACATATTGCTGCCGTGTGGAAATCCATGGCTGGTTTAATGATCAGAAAACCAACGTGGACATTGTGATTGAGAGAGGTGAGCACAGCTCTTCTCCCTTGTACGAGCAGGGTCAACCTCTTTGCAGTCAATAGCACTGATTATGATAGAAATAGGATCACTTTCTGCACCTTTAACCATTAGGGTTTTGCAGATAGAGCAATAACACTGTCTCGATCAAGTCACCTGTACTATTGTCATTATCCCAGCAGAGGCAATACTTAGTAATGGAGGTTTTGGCCACCTGATGCCATGGTGCTCAACTCTGATTAGCATACTTGTTGGTGCCACTTGCACAATGTAGGAGCCTGGGCAACACAGACTGCTTCACGCCTTGGAAATGTTAATCAGCTCTTAGGCTGAGTATAGACAGTTGAAAAGCCCGAGGCTGAATCAATTCACTCTTCACAAGTTAGTCTAAGCTGCAGAGATTGAACCGATAAGCGAGTGAGCAGACATTCGCTTCTGATTCCAGAAATGCAGTCAGAAGTTAAGGGGTGCTAGAGCATTTCTCTTTGTTGGGCTGGCCAGACCAAGGCTATCCCACCCACCCTGTGAGGTGGGGAAGTCTGTGGGAGAGAGGTGCAAAGCATCCTGGGATACTGGGGGGGTTGAGAGTTAATTTGAATCTGGGGGGATTCTGGGACGTAAGTTCAATAAACCGATTTAACCTAAATCCGTTCAGTCTGATGCTACATCTATCCACATTTATCTTAAACTGGTTTTGGCCATTTTCATAGATTTCATAGACATTCAGGCTGGAAGAGACCTCGGAAGATCTTCGAGTCCAGCCCCCTGCCCCAGGGGCAGGAAGTCAGCTGGGGTCATAGGATCCCACCAAGATTTTGAAAGTGTTTTATGTGCACTGAACTTCTGTTGTGTTACAGACATGACCCAGTTTCTGATTGCTTATATCAGTTTATGTGTAATTTCTATCCCTAGCCTTAAAAGTTAGACTGTCACGTTCTTCTCTCTCTGGGCCAAGCCTGATTTCCCTGCCTGCTCCTACAAAGCTAGATTAGTCTTCCCGAACTGAACCTCTGCACATCCCCTCACCTAGCAGCATCCCCATCAACCCCCTGGGCCCAATTCAAACTTAGGCAGAACGTGTCTGACTCCAGGAAAGCCAATGCAAAGGATGAATTCAGCCCTCTGCGTGGGCTGAGGGCTGCTGCAGTGTTTTGAACCCTCTGTGGCTCTCCACATGCGGTGCATATCACCTTTTGGCGAGCACTTGCGTGGGCTTGTTTGGTTGTGCACACCATGAAGGGTGAAGTTTGAATAACTGTGACCTAGTGACTCATTTCCTCGGATCTCAAGGATGCTCCTTTGTAACTGCTGTTTTAACGAATTACAGGTATAAAAACATACTGATTTCCACAACCAAGGTTGTAGGACTTTGGATTTCCTTCAGTTCTATCTCAAGCAGAATTTTGACCTGGAAAAAGTGGAATTCTAGAGACTTTCTGACATCCCTGGGGACTAGTCGATTGCTAATGATGTTACGTTGAGCCCACGTGGACGCTGTGAGGGCAGGTAGCAGCTCAAACCCTAGCCTAGGTGGGCAGAAAGAGGCATTAGTCTATTGATGATCCATTCACTTCTCCTTTGCTGCAGTTTTTCCCTTTGCTTTTGAGAATGATAGAGTAATTTTCTCCTTCTTAGAGAGTCTCATGAGTCACTAAGTCCAGTTGCCTGCTGTTTCAGACAGCCGTCTCTTATAATCCCCTTTGTAAATTTAGTGAGCTCCATCTTAAAAGTTATTAGACCTCAATTTCTATGTGGCCTGCCTGTTTGTTCTTGTGCCAGAATTGTCCATGAGCTTAATTAGCATTTGTGCCTCTCTGGTGCTGGAAACTTCTACAGAAGCTCTGGGATTCGTGTCTTTTTTAGCATTAAGCATTTGGTCCTACACCCTTGGTAGGGAGCACTCAGCCCTCGCCTTGCTGAACTCACCAAGTCAAGCTTTTCTGTTCTCCTGTGATAAGATAGTCTCTCTACTCCCTTATCTTTATTACAGGCCAAGTGCATATGAGATGTGTATATTTGTCAGCAGTGGTTTGCTTTTATTCCTAGGAGGTTTTTGAGCTGCCATCAGTTGTAGCATGCATGGGTTTTATTTTGTTCTGTTTTTAGCATCAACAACGACCTCCACGACAGGCCCTTCCACACACAGCACTGAACGCACCTCAGGTAACACTTAGCATCATCCTCCATCTCTGTAGCATAACTAAGCTGCTTGGCAATGGGTTTCCAGAATGGCAAAGAAATAATGAATGGGGTGAATTCAGCGGCTGAACTTTATTGTATGTCTCATTCTCTGAACTTTGACTTTCAGCTTAAAACTAGAAGCACAATTTGCAGTTCTCCATTCACCTGGATTTTGTCCATTTAACAAGGATTTAACAAGGATTTTGTCCATTTAACTATGTATTACAACATAGTTTACATTTCCCTCTCGGAGGAGGAAGTGAAAGCTTTCTCAGACTGGAAAGTCTCTATTTTAGAACCAGCGGCACAAACCGCCATCTCAGCCCTCACAAGTTTGTGATGGGATAGCACCCTCTGCTCTGGGTGGGCTCACTGTTTATGAGCACACACGTCCCCTTTACTTACAGGGGGCACATCTGTGAAGGGGGGAGAATTGGACAGAAGATGTTTCTCCGATGTCAGGATATTCGACACTGCCCCAAACCTAGAGAAGAGGGAAAGCAGAAAGTCCCATCTAGAACAGGGGCAGTCAGCAAAGACTTGCAGTTTGGACAGCATGGTCACTTGATCTGGAGTTCCCCTTCTTTAAATAGGAGGTGATTTTCAATAGAGCTGTAGGGCCTTGGGCAGCCCAGGCTGAGCCCTGGGATCCGTGCACTTGTTTTGTTCCTTGTGGGTTTATTTGATAATTGCATGATGGGTTCATTGAACTGTGGTAGAGAAGACCTTACATTTTGCATCTCTGCATTTTAAATGTTGTGAGGTGCTCTGAGCTGGGGAATAGACATGACATAGGGTATGAGGGATATGGTTTCACAGCTTAATCATCTGAAATGTTACATGACCGCACTGTGAAGTAGTTTGATATAAGCAGCACTGTGTTTATCACACGTTTCAGACCTCTTTCAAGGTCCTGATACAAAGCCCATCTATTTAATCTGGTGGTACCAATTTAGTTGAGATGTTCAGAGAAGCAAGCACCATGTGGTTGTGAAAACAGGAAGTATTAGTTGTATTAAATGCTGCGTTGCTTTACCTTATCTCTACTCAGTTGCTTCAAATGCCAGTGAATCATCCTCTACCATCTCACTGACGTGGCTATGGGTTTCCAGCTCAGAAGTCCCTCCAGACGTAAGCATCTCCATTGTCATATGTCATACAAATACTAAGCAATCAGACCTGACTGACGACTGCACCATCCATACAAGTCCTTTTCTGTAATGCTTTATTTTGCCTGGAGCAGATGAGTGTTCATATTTAGACTGGGAAATGATGGCCATTGCCCGGGAAGTATCTCAGGGATTTAGAAACTAAGCAACTCTTGTGACATGCATAAGACATTCATCCTGGGGTTCTTACTACTTACTGAGACAGAAATCATATTCACTTGAAAGACTTTTGCTTGAGGAAAGACTGAAGCCACTAGAGGCATAAGTCACTTCTCAAGACCAAGACTTGAATAAGGACTGCAAGATTTGGCCCTAACTAAACAAAAATAGGCTTTTTGCACAATGAGCTATTTTTTGCTTCTTAATCCTGGTAAATTAGATATAAACTAAAGATGTTCAGCATCTTTGGGAGAGAGTGCATTGTTATTGCTTACAATAAGACATCTTGATTGCCTTAGAAAAGAGATGCCAGTTGCTGGCCCTGTGAAGAGAGGCACCAAAGGAAAGCTGCCCCTTCCTTCTGTTCCCCAACTCTAGATTGGGAAAATAAAACTTGGGCTGTATTTTCAAAGGTATGTAAAAGTGCACGAAGATGCCCATAAGCATCCTGTTGGATTTCCAAAGGGACTTAAGCAAGCTAGATACCTCGGTTGTTTGAAATAGATTTTGAGAATAATCAAGCATACTTGGTATTCCACAACATTTTTGGAAGCTGCTTAAATACCATTTAATATAACAATCCAGTACAGCAAGTTATCATCAACCCATACTAGGTTCATATTTCTATTTCCTCAATTGCTTAAACTATCAAGCTCAGTTGCATTGCCTGTACTTGCAAATTTAGGCGTGAATACTGAGGTTAGCTGGAAACGTAAATAAGACCAAACCTCAAGTCTCATTTGATGTCTTTAAAACCCCAACAATACCCATCTGTTGAAGAGCATGGATCACAGTTTATGTAACCATCACAATGTCCCCATGAAAATAATGCATCATTTCAATGCGAGTGAGCCATTGGAAGGGTATTGCTATCATATGGTTGCAAGACACAAGGATGATTTTTGAGCTCTGTTGTTTTTCTTCATTACAGCCATTGATATCCCTGTTTTTATGTTTGATAGAATACGTCTTCTGTCGTTCATCAGACAATGGGGGCAGATCCCAGCAAGGATGGCATATATATTGGAATCGGCATCTTTCTGGTTTTTTTAGTCGTCCTAGCTGTTGCTTTCTTTCTCTTGAAAAGTAAGTCCATCACCAGTTCAAAGACAGGATGGTTTTATTTCTCTGACTCCCTGAGGACTTGGTCAACAGCAGCCGGGGAAGACGCACTTACCCAACCTAACTCCATGATGCCCTAGTTGCACCCCTTGCCCAGCCGTGCTGTGGCGTGGTGTGCCTCCAGACACTACCACCCCGGGCACGCTTTCTAACCTGGAGACACTCAGCTTCCCAACGGGATAACCCTGGAGTGAATTGGTTTCCTTTAATATGGCTGTTTCACGTACTGAGTGGATCTGCCTCACAGCTCCCTTACTGAATGCCTTGCACTTGACCTTCTTTTTTCTCCCTAATTGAACTTGCTGCCTTGTTGTCCTCATGATTTTAAGAACCCTGAGGGTTTCTTTTTGTTTTTTCCATGTTGAATGTGTACACAGGACATTTGCCCAAGAGGCAGAAGCTGAGGAACCTTGTAAGGTAAGCACTCTCACTCTGGAGCTTTAATAAGTAGCTAGATCCCCAAGTTTCTGTATTTTTGCTAAAAAAGAAGCATTCAGAACAGACTCCTGGATCCAGGCTGACTGCTCAGACCCTGCATACTGTAATTTACTTGACCGTTTCCTAACGGGAAAGCTAGCAATACGAAACAGCAGTGCAAAAAGAAAAGCTATTATTGCTACTTATAGTTTCATAGTTTCTAGGGCCGGAAGGGACCTGAGCAGATCATCTAGTCCGACCCCCTGCCATGGCAGGAAAGAGTACTGGGGTCAAATGACCCCAGCAAGGTGTTCATCTAACCTCCTCTTAAAGCCCCCCAGGGTAGGAGCCAGCACCACTTCTCTTGGAAGTTGGTTCCAGATCCTAGCTGCCCTGACCGTGAAGTTGCGCCTCCTGACATCTAGCCTAAATCTCCCCTCTGCCAGCTTGTCACTGTTATTCCTGGTCACTCCTGGCTGTGCTCGGGGGAACAGGGACTCCCCCAATACCTGCTGGTCCCCCCTGACTAGTTTGTAACAGGCCACTAGATCCCCCTCAGCCTTGTCTTGTGGAGGCTGAACAGGTTCAGGTCCGGTTGCCTCTCCTCGTAGGGCCTGCCCTGCTGCCCCCGATCATGCGAGTGGCCTCCTCTGGCCCTCCTCCTTGTCACAGCTTTGGAAGCAAAAATGAGCCTAACTGTCATGGTTTCTAAAACCCTTCATTAGTTTGCAATAGGGAGCATAATTTGCAATAGGGAGCATAAGTTTTTCAAATCCAGTGTGTCTGATAAATGTAGAGCAGTTGCCTACTCCTAACATTTAATAATAAGCAATGCTCCAGTTTGTGTTTTCCCAGGATTGGTTAATTTGGATAGCTGGTCTTCCGTCTGTCTATTTTAGGCTAGTTGTGTTCAAAGGTCCTGCTTTCTTGTGTCCTCTACAGCTCAGTCTCCTTCTCCAGGACAGGACACGAGGGCATCCGAAATGCGCTAGAAAGCGATTTCCATGCAGAGGAAAATGTTTACACAATACACTAAGGACTAATCACATGCTTGCCCTTATACTTTGGCATTTGCCAGTTACTACAAAGTTAGAATAATTTATGCTGCTCCCTAAACTATTTGTGCCACTGGCTACTTTGAAGGATCATTTCTTATCCTGAGCAGACATGGAAGTAGCAAGGTGCAGAGGTTTGCTCAGGTGCTACTCTGCTCACTCCAGGAAAGCAAGAAGAACCAGTGAGGTACAGACTAAGACTTGATGAGTCTCTTCCAGTTGCAGTGTCCATCTCGCGTAGTGCAACAAATCATCAGTCTCTGAATCCATTCCTTTAATCATGGGCCAAATATATCCAGCTTTCCATCCAATGCAAATGACCACTTCTTGCATCTGACCATTGCCAAGCAGCCGCACACCTGCAAAGGGGAAAGTTGCAATGTGCTTCCATATTTCTCTGTATCTTTTGACATGCTTTGTCACTACTGTGATGTAGACTGCTGGAGTTGGGAGGGCAGCTAGAAACCCTGCCATGCCATCTGCAGAGATGACCAGCTTGTGGCAGCAGTGATGGGAATGATATGAAGAGGGGTCTGTTGAAGTGAACTTTGCAATAAACAGAAGTTTCACTGTATTTTCGATCATTCAAGATATACCCTCAGTGGGCACATCTACACGAGACAGTACTGTGCAGTAGCATGTCATGGCAAAAAATCATGCTAATATGCTACTGTGCAGCAATATTAAGCTACTGCACAGCTAGCACCACTAAAAACCCATGTGCTGGCGTTACTGTGCAGTAGCATCACTTATTGCACATTGATTTAGTACTGGGTTATACAAGTACTAAACTTAATGAACAGTAACTACAGCACATTAATGAACGTGTAGGTATGCCCAGTGGTCACCAGTGAGGGCTCAATGGTGCAATCGCTGACTGCCTCTAAGGAACTGATGAAATCCTTCCAGTTAGGTCAGTAGCATGGAGAGTGCTCCTGCTCTCTGCCTTCCAGGAGGCACTCAGAGCCAAGCAGGATTGGGCTCTGAATATGCACCATTGTTACCTTTGGATCTCCAGGTTCAGTGTAATCAAGCACAAAACATGCCGGGTTTTTCTCCAGCACCTTCCAAAGAGCAATGGGGGTTGCACACAGTAGGGGGATCTCCTTTCCAGATTTCTAGCGAACTAAAAACCTCAAGCTATGCTGGAGAGCTACTAATAAATTCCCCTTGCTACTGTTCTCTGTGAGAGTAATGTGTGTTGGATGGGTATGCCTTTGATCCTGCAAAATATGTTAAACTGGTCCTGCTCTTCTCTCACACCAGCACAAATCCAAAATAAACTCCTGTGACATGAGTCTGCTGTAATTGGGATTTACAGCAAAGTAAACAGGAACCAAAACTTGGCTTGTGGACTTTCTCCTGCAGCGTCACAGTTAACAGAACTGAGATTAGATGCATGACCCGTACCCTTTTACTATGTCCAGGCATATTCATCTTTTAAAGTAATTGTCCCATGGTGCATTGCAGTGGCGTGCAACGGAACACAACCTAACCGATGCAAAGTCATGCGATTTAGGTGGGAAGAATAGTTTTGTTCAGCTACATTTTAAAATCACTCCTAAAAATGATAATCAAGACACTTGGGAGTTCCTAAAAGTGCAAGGTCAGAGAGAGCCAGGTATCTGCTGATCCCGATCAACACAGCCTTCGTTATAAGACTTGGTCCAAATGTTGATGTGGGAAATCTAACCTAGGTGGTATTTCTGGAGCAGGTAAATTAAAGTGAATAACCTACTTGGTTTCGTGATCATTGATTTGAGTGAAGTGGCACCAGGAAAGGATCCTTATGACCTTAAAAGCCATTACTAATCATAACAATGATCTGTAATTATCATGGTAAATTGCTGATTTTAATTCCCGTACTTATGTGAGAGACTCCCTGAGTCACAGGCTGGCTGCCCCTTTGCAGAGAGATGCATCGCTAGTCCCCAGATGGTCCAGATCAGATGGGTTGGGTCAGTGATGAGGGTCAACTGGAAAGGAGTTGGGCCTTTCCCCTGAAAAGCTGGGAGAGCTCACATGGGGCTTGGGAGAGGGTGAAGCATGGTTGGGGGCGGGCTCTGGAGGACACAAGTCCTCAGGGTCACAGCTCCGGGTAAGGGCAAGAATGGAGACCCACAGCCAACAGAGATGGATGGTGTGTTTCCATCAGGACTCGCCTTTCTGTTTCCATTGGTGTCTTGCCTGGGAATATGGAGAAGGGGACCTGTGGGGTCATCTCTCTAGGAAAACCCAAAAGGGAAGGCCGGCCTGAGATAGAAGGTCCTGTTGCAACGTTGCCCCGCTAAGCCCTGAGAAGCTTTCAGAGGTCCTTGGGGAAGCTGAGGCAGAGGGAGCTCTGCTATGACCAGCCCCAAGAGGAGTGGGTGCTATGACAGGTGACCCTCCCACACACAAGCTCAAGGAAGCTGTTTAGGACCCAAAAAGGGAACAGGGCCTAGGGTTTCTCTCCCTTGGTCTGTGTTAAGCAGCAGGATCTGACCACGAGAAGCAAAACAGTCCAGCGTAGCCTGCTGCTTCCATCTCTATGTGCATTTGGCCTCAACTCCCGTATACGATGATCGGTCCAGGATGGAGCTGGGCTGTTCTCCGTGGTGGCAGATGTCAGGACAAGGAGCAATGGGCTCAAGCTGCAGCAAGGGAAGTTGAGGCTGGATGTTAGGAAAAACTCTTTCACCAGGAGGGTGGCGAAGCCCTGGAGCAGGTTACCCAGAGAGGTGGTGCAGTCTCCATCCTTGGAGGTTTTTAAGGCCCGGCTTGACAAAGCCTTGCCTGGGATGATGTAGGTGGGGCTGGTCCTGCTTGGAGCAGGGGGTTGCACTAGATGTGACCTCCTGAGCTCCCTTCAACCCTCATTGTCTGTGATCCAGTCCTCCCAGGCAAACCTTGAGGCAAGGGAGTCCCCATCACAGAGGCCCCCAAAACTAGCGTGGTCAGTTGATCAAGAAGAGCTACAACTGCTGATATTCATAGGTGACAGGAGAGGAGTTAAGGGATATGCCTCTGGTTAGGAAGTGGCTTCGTGCACAGGTGTTGGGAGGCCACCATGCCTGGAGCGCACCGTGGAAGAAGGCAGGAGATGGAAATGGAGGGGACATCGGGGTAAAGGCAAAGGGACAGACAGACTGGGTTGAGTGATTATGAAAACTCAAGGACACCGGGAGCGAGTGAGGAGCACTGAAGAGCAGGGAAACAACCAGCGAGGAAGGGGACTCTGGCAGCAGCCTGCTGAGTGGCTTGGAAGGGAGCAGGGTTCATCTCCAGGAGACCCGAGAAGAGGCGCCTGGGTGGGGCAAGCCTGAGAATAGAGAAATGACTCTGCTGTGGAGCTCGTTCAGCATCGAACATATAAAGCTGGTTCTCTCCGGCTGGGGACATTCCCGGAGTCTGTCCTCCACCAGCATGTCCCCTTCCCTCTGGCTGCATTGGATACTGATACAGATGTGGGCAGGTGAGTGCTGGTGGCTTTACGGCGCATTGCCTCAGCAAGCAAAGGGTGATTCACTTATGTTTTGCAGGGTTACAAACAAAAGGCATTCATTGTTTGCAGGTTGTGTGTGTGCTCCAGGCACAAACAGCATTGTGCACACATGCACGCATGGACACACGCATGTGCGCATGCACACACACACACACACACATGTGAATGCATGCCATAGCATTATTTGTGCCTGGAGTATACACACAACGTGCAAGCAATGAATGCCTCTTGTTTGTAACTCTGCAAAACTAAAATGAGTGTGTGTGTGTGTGTGTGTGTGTACACGTGTATGTATTATTTCAAAAGGTTTCTTAAAATTACAGGAATTAGTACCAATACAGAGCAATGTGCTAGTTACTGAAATGTGGTATTTTCCCTGTATCTGCAAAACCTGTGTGTAGATTTCGTGGGTTGTTAAACAGAATTTTTTTAATGATGAAAATGATCTCACCTTATTGCTGATGTTGAATTTCTAGAGAACTCATTTTGCGTCCCTGCCTCTCTTCTCCATGTTTTAAGCAGGGCTGACAGGGTCCAGGCTTAGAGAAATTGTCTTTAAATATAAAAAAGAGTAATCATTCTGGAAAATGAGAGGGAAGAGGGATTTTTTTAAAGCTCTCAGCTAGGGGAGACTTTCACTGAGAGAGTTGCACAACTCTGCCTCCAGTTATGTAAATGGAAAAACTCCTAATAGGAGTAAAATGGGAGCAGAGTTATTCCAAAGCTGAGTTGGGCTTTTTGTTGTTTTTTTTTATTTTTTGAAACCCACCCCAAACAGTTAATTATGCTCCAACACTTTGCAGTCCCTTTTAGACCAGAAAGGAAATGTTGAAATGTGGGTGGAAAACCCCGAGATATGAGATTTGGTTCATGCTCTTCCTCCAACTCCATCAAGCTTCACTGAGCAAAATAAGATGACCCCGTGATTTCTCTGCAGCTTCAGGCCATTTCCACAGCCCAGGGATTTCCACAATATTTCCAGTCGCTCGTGGACCTGACTCTGGAGGGTGATAGGAGCCCTGTACGCTCCCCGCTGTCAGCCAGATTTCTCCTCTTGTGCTTGTTTCAATAATGTTGTGATACGAAGAGAGTGGGTCAGGGTCCGAATGGTCTCTTGTAACCTCTCGCCCATGTTCCTGTCGGTCAGCATTTTCACAGCTTGGGACTGCCATGTTCAACATGGCAAAACAAGCTGTCAGGCTGATTTTTTTTTACAAGCCTACTCTCTCGAGAACTCATTATTCCTGCTGGATCTGACTTTCTCTAAGCAAAGTGAGAGCTCCAGAGAGAGGAGAAAATGGAGGTTTTTTAACACACAAATCACAAGTTTCCAGCATAAAAAAGGAAAGGGGTTTAGTGCAAAAATTCCAAGGAAAAAATGTGTTTTTTTTTCCAACCACCTCATGTATAACTCACACTAGGATGCAAGTCTCTGCCTCCTCCACACCTAGGCTACATGGCAGCAAAGGAGTCTACTCTAGTTGTCAACTGATGGAGCCGAAAGAGGGAAATGCTTTTGAACCCTGAAAGTCACAGGTTCAAACATTGCTGAGAGGCATGGGTATTTTATGCGGTCTGAGCAATCATTAACTTCATTTGTTCTTTGAACAACCTATAGCTGCCAGGTTTCCCATACAAGCAGCAAGTAGCATTTGCAGTGCATAACCCCATGAATTTGGGGACTACTTTTAGTATTTACTGCCACTCAACAGGGCTATTGGCTCCAAGAGTCGGGTCCCTGTTTATAAAAGAGAGTGCACACCACGGTGCCGTTGCTTCAGGAAGCTAAAATTACAACACCGTGGTGCGAGCTACCAGGATGCCGTTTGCTAAATGCTTGGATTCAGATGATTTCTGCCCTGCAGATTGCCACGTGGCAGGTAAGGTGGCTCACATGGACATCTGTGCTGTGGCAGGTCATCCATTTCCAATCCCTGCACTAAGTGATTTAGGATCTCTCTGCAGGCTGCCCAGGAGTCAGACTGTTAGGGGTGGTAGTAACCCAGAAAGGAAATGCTGACTCAAAACCACAAAGGACCAAGTTCGCCTAGTACCAGCCTCTTTAGGAAATAGCAGCTGAGACATGCCGGTGCCTGGCTCCTTTTCTGTAAACTCACATTTCCGCTTTCCAGTGGGCAGAGGATGCAACATGGGGGTGCAACTTCTGAAACCTTTGCCCTGCAGAGCTCCCTTTGTGCTGCCCAGGAGAAGGGATGCTTGCGTCCCTAAAGGGGAAGAGTCCCAGGCCGTAGCAGCTCAGAGATGAAGAGGACTGGCCAAGCCTCTTGGTCTCACTGCCAGCCTGGGCTGGCCTAGGGCACATGGCTGCATTTTCAGACCGTGCATGGTGGTGGATTGGGTCGGATATCTCGCACCTAGAGCGGAGGCCCAAATCCGAGTCCTGTTCACGCTTGCGCTGAAGGCTGCCCCCACTTGACAGCATATCAGTGACTGTTGAGAGTGATGCATCTCTGCATTTTTTGGAAGAGGTTGGAGACTTTCAAGTTTGCCAAATGGATACCAACTTTCAGTCCTGAGCAGTTTAGGCTGGAGATGAAAGCCAGGCCCTGAGCTGAAAGACCACACGCCCCAAATCCCCTTTTGCAAAGCCTGGTCTCTATGGCACAGTTCTGTTGGAAAAAAAATGATTGCCTTTTATTTGCTACCAACATGCATGCACCCACCCATGCATGAGGAAGCCACCAGGAGCCCAGCCTTTCTGTCACCACAATAAAACCACTTCTTCAAACAGCCAAGGCCCTTAGACAACATACAGGCACTTCCCAAATGCTGGCAGGCATGCACAGCCAGTCAAGAAATCAAAAGGTCATCTAGCCTTTTCCTCTGCACCAAAGCAAGTTCAAGTGCATGCAAACCATCCCTGCCAACGTTGGCTTAACGACCCTTGAATGAAGGAGGCCCCGCAGCCTCTGTGTTTAACTTGTGACTGTGTTTTGCCACCCTTAGAGATGGGAAGTGTTTCTGGGGGGATAAAGATTATATCTTGGCTTTCTTTCCCCCTGCTCTTCCTCACCAGCGCACGCTGCGTCCCAAACTGTCGTGCAAGGGGTGACGGGGCAGTCCGTCAGGCTACCCTGCTACTACCGTGTTGGAAGAGCGAGTGACGTCTCCGTCATGTGCTGGGGCCGGGGCAGCTGCCCAAATTCAAAGTGCAACAATGAGATTATCCGTACCGATGGGATGAGGGTCGTATCTTCGAAGTCTATGAGATACCAGCTAACGGGTCACCTGGACATGGGGGACGTGTCTCTGACCATAAGGAACGTGAAGGAAGGAGACAGGGGAGTATATTGCTGCCGTATAGAGGTCCCCGGTTGGTTCAATGACATCAAACAAAACCTGGAGTTGAAGGTCGAGAGAGGTAAGAAATGCATCTTCCTCCTCTGAGTCTATGGGGAGAAGTCCATCCTGCTATCAGTGACGGTGAGATTAGGGAGGGGTGAATTATCTTAGCGGGAAGAGTTTTGCCAGGAAAATACAGTTTGGGGTGGACTGAAATTATTTGCAGGTTGAGATCTAATTCATCAAATCCTTTTGGCTGGAAAAAAAAATAAGGGAAGAGCAGGGTGGGAAAGCTGAGAGGCTTTGCTTAGAAATGCTTTGAAGGCAGGTTTTCCACTTTTTTGCTGTGAAGCTTTCCATTTGATGAAAAAAATGCCATTTCATTTTAGTGCAACTGAAAAGGAAGGATTAACGGGGTTAAAAACCCCAAAGTGAAATGAAACATTTTACGTTGGATAGAAGCAGCGGTGTTATCAACCGCCTGGGTTTTTTCATAAGCAAACACAGCAAAAACCCCAGGACACCAATTCATTTTAGGTTGACCAGAAGCGAATCCCTACGCTTCATCTATCAGTGCGGTCAGCAAACCAAAAAACCAGTCATTGGACAGCCCTGGCTTAGACGGGATGTTTTAGACCATGGTGTAAGAAGGGTGAAGTCCAGGAGAAGCTTGTGTTATAGCTGTGATGGTTCAGAAATCATCTGAATGATGATGGGCCTTAAAAACCTACAAGGATGGAGACCCCACCACCTCTCTGGGCAACCTGTTCCAATGTTTCACCACCCTCCTGGGGAGAAGTTTTTTCCTAATATCCAACCTCAATTTTCCTTGCTGCAACTGGAGCCCATTGCCCCTTGTCCATCCAGGACAGTCCAGCTCCATCCTCTTTGCAGCCCCCTGCAGGGAGGTGAAGGCTGCTATTCAATCCCCCTCAGTCTTCTCTTCTGCAGACTCAATCAGCCCATTTCCCTCAGCCTCTCTTCACAGCAGCTCAAAGAAATGGGCAGTTTCCATTTTGTGTGGTTCTCAAGCTCAGCTGAGGAGATTCTGACCTGGTTTCTTGGCTTTTTTCTCCAGCAGTCACAACTTCTCATCCTCCTCATCCTCCGACAACTACAACCCTGGTTCCCGCAGTGGTGACAACCCACCCAGCAATGCCTCCTGCCTTCCCAACGGGCCCGGCTCTCCTGCATACGACTCTTGCTCCCCAGACAACTGATTTGGAGACGACCGAGGCCTGGCCGGGAAGCTACGGCGTGACGGAGCTCGCTCGCACTTGGGGCTGTAGGTCGCATAGCTGGCAGTAATTCCTCCTTCCCGCTGGGATGCAAGGGGCGGGGGTGCCAGGAGGTGTCGTGTGGGCAGCAGGGAAGTCTGTATGAGGCTGACTGGTTTTTCGGGGTCCCTCTGGGCAATGCCCGTGTGTGCCGGGGGCATGTTCGTCCAGACTCTTTCCCGCTGGCTATGGGGAATGGCAGGGCGAGCGGTGGGAAGAGCCGTGCATGTCGGACAGGGCAGTGGGCAATATTCAGAGCTAAGCCAGGAGTTTCAAAGATTTTCCCCAGCTTGGTTCATTTCTGGTGCTAATGACCTTCATCCTCTTGCTTTCCCTGGGCTGGAGTAGCTCCAGGTGCGTTAAAAGCCGTAGGTTTTGCTCCACACTGCACCAGGGCCGACTCTCTCCGCATTGCTTCTGACTCAAAAAGCATTGCACATCGCTCTGCGTCGTGCTCATCTATCCACGGTTTCCATCGCCAACATTATCAGTGTCAGGAGCTTCTTTTCCCCCCAACTGTCTGTGCCCAGTGCTGCTTTCCCTGGGCTGGAATAGCTCCATCTGCTAGAAGGTGCATTAAAAGCTGTAGGTTTTGCTCCACACTGAACCACCTTTTCAAGTATGAGTAAATAGCCCCCCTGCAGAAAGGTCAGCAATCCAGGGCATGAAAACAGAGGAAATCCAGACTTCAGGAGTGACATTGCCTCAGCAAGTCAGGCTCCAGCCTCCATAAACTCACTGCTGTGATTTCAGCCGGCACCACGCAGCAGGACCAAAGCATTCAAGAGCATCCCATGGCTCATTCAGTTCTTGTTTTCTGGTGCAGGCAACTCAAATTTGTAATGGGTGCATGCTGCCCTTTTTTAAATAGTCTTTCACTTCTCAGTGGAAACCCTTCTTCCTCCCCTGTCACTCCATCGCTGATAAGACATGTGAATAGGAGCTGGTGGACACTTGTATCATGTAAGCCATTAGGCCTCTTTGTCAGGGCTTCTTCAGGAACAGCTGAGGACTGGGAGCAGGATGCATTTCAAATCAGGAGAGAGGAGGGATGGGAAAAGCTGACAGCTACCCTGCCCAGAGCATATCCCCCCCATTCATCGTAGCTCTAGAGGATGCCCCGTAGGTGGTTATGCCTTGGTGCAGTGGTAGCAAAGGGAAAGGATGTCCTGTTTGAATTGAGCCCTAAATCAAAGCTGAAATCCAAGCCTGGATCTTTATTGAAGAATTAAATATTGGAGTTTGGACCTGACTCTGGTCACCACATGCTATTTCGTCTTCTTTCCTTCCCTGGGCTTCATCTGGCCAGAAACAATCAAAACTCCCATCCAGAACAACACACGGAGGTTGCTGTACAAGCCCATAACACCTTTGAACATACACAGCCTAAAATTCAACACAAGTAACCCAAGACAGCGTCTCCCCTGTAAGCGATCATCTGGATTCGAAATGCTCAGCAAAACATGCTGGTGAAGCAGAAAACTTGAGGAAAGCACTGTAGCGCTGACTCCACAATTAGATCACGTGTCCTGTTTCCTTCTGCATCCCCTAGCCCCGTTTGCTAGAGGAAATGCTTGGCTTTCTCTCTTGTCCCAGGGTTCATCCCGTGGTTTTATGATGGTAATCTGGCCCACCCGACAAAAAGTCTCATCGTTACAGGTATGGAAGGGTGTCACCTTTTACAAACACAACACACCCATGCCAGCACCCAGGACCAATGTTTTTAAATATTTCTGTCTTTCTTTTGATTTTAATTTCAGGGACTGATCTGCCAGCTACTGTCCAGGACCCCCCTGACCAGACAGCTGTGGATTATACTTCTCACGCTCCATTTTCCACAAGAGACACCCCTCTTTGTATCCTGGCAGCAGCCCGAGGTAAAGGCGAGATTGTTGGTCTTCATTTTTAATGCAAATACACACAAGTGACTGAAGATTGTGGAGCCCCTGAATTATCCTCTAAGGGCTGGTGTATGCCCTCGTCTTAAGTTGTTGCAATGCATTATGCCGCCGACACATGCAAACACCCGCACCATTAAAGTGGTGCAAAAGCATTTAACCCGCTTTAAAGTGTCATGCACACCCCCCTTCATTTTGTCTAGACACAGCCTTGGACAGTAACAGGGTCCAGAGATCATTGTTGGATTCCCTGATTCACCAAGGGTTTCTGCATGACCTGCGAGACTTTGAGGGCCAGCTGCAGATTGGTATTTAGGTGTCTAACTCCTATGTGAATTCAATTATTGTTTAGGCACCTAGGAACCTTTCTAGGTTCAGCCCTTAGAGGTCTTTTTCTGCCTCAGTTTCCCATTCTCCAGGCAAGGATAGTAGTGTTTTCCTATCCAACAGGGTGTTGTAAGGACAAATGTATAAGAGATATATATCTCTTGTATATAAGAGATTGCAAGGTGCTTGGTAACACAGGTCATATTAGGAGAGCAGGTAGACAGAATAAGCTACATCAGTATTGCTGAGGAGTCTTGGATTTGGGGAGAAACACTTGGTCTTACAGGCCTTTCCGGTGACAGTTGCAACATTATCGGCCTCTGCAAATTACTGTGAGAAGATGAATGTCTAACAGCAACTGCACTGAGTCTAGATCTAGCATTTTGTTTTTTTCTGTTACCAGAGACTATGCCAGAGCCACAACACTGTGAGCCCCCAGAAAACACAGATAACCCAGGACAGGTAAAGCCTCCTCCATGTCTCAGAAGTGTCCGACGAACTAAAAGCCAGCTTGACCTAGCAGTGATTTATGAAGCGTTTACCCTAAATACACGCTGTAGGCAAAGCAGAGAGGTGCTGGGTTTAATCTGGTCCAGGGGCACATAGGAATTACCAGCCCCCCAATCCAGCTATCTGCCTTCAGTAACCAGCACCAGACGCTGCTGAGGAAGATGCCATAAATGCGGGCTGGGATGTCATATTTCATGTCATTTATCCTCTTTCCTCCTCTCCGTTCCCCAAGCAATCTCTCTTGGTTTGTCCTCGCTGGTGCTTGGCAAAGACCCGTGACTGATGAAGTGAGAGGGCAGAGGGCTATCTGTGCATGGATTTGTATAAGGTTTGGGGGTCCTGGCAGTGTTGAGAGGCTGTTGGATGCAAAATCTCATCCCAGAACTGCTGCCACCTGCCAGCAAAAGTGATCCTGAAGGCCACTCCAGTCCAGAGTGAAAGGCAATGGGTTTTCATGTGCCTTGCAAATACCGCTGAGATGCAGCCTGGGCTGCCTACAGTCATGGAAACAGGGGAGGGCTCTAACAGGACAAGCACTGGGTCATCTGGGCTTGAGGTTCAGCTAGCAGCAGTCAAGGATGGCTTTGTCTTGCAGCCCCTGGACAAGACCTTCTTCCTGGTGGAGTCCAGAAGGAAGTAGTAGCACCACTGTTCACTGAGAGAGCCATCCTTTTTGCAACAGGGCCTGGCCTTCTGATCCAAACCACCTCTTGTTTGGGTTTTGCTTAACCCAAGCCCACCCACTGGGGTTTTGCAAAACTGATATTGCCCCTGGTATGAGCAAACCCCTACCTGTGCAGAAAGAGAGCAAACAAACTTGGCAATAAATAATCCAGATGCCCATCAAAGTATGCCATGCAGGTTTGCAATAGGATTCCTGCTTTCCTGTTCCCCAGGCATTTGCCATTTACACTGCCAGCTTGATGGCAGATATTGCTGTTAGAGCTACCAGGCCCCCTTTAAACATCCCAGAGCCAATGTGCTGTTTAAAAGCCTTTTCTGCTTGTTTCCCCCCTCCCTTCTTTCTCAGCTGGAGCAGGGGATCCCACTACTGCCCCTCTTCACTGGAGGGGCAGTTCTTCTCGCATTGCTGCTGCTCTTACTTTTCCTGTGGAGATGTAAGTACTGTCGTGTGTTTGCTGTCATGCTCTGCATCAGCTTCATGTGTGCCCTTTTTTGTGTGTGCACATTTTGGTCCTGGGGATAATGGTAAACTGCATCTGACTGGAGGGCCTGGTGGTGGGGCTACTCGTGGCAGGGTAGCTCCTATAAAATACCACCTTACTCTGCAGGTTACAACATGGTGGTATTTTCTTCAACCAAGGAGTACCCACAAGGTGCCTCAAAACCCTACTGCCTTGTGGGTACTCCTTGGTTGAAGAAATCCTAAGGGACATTGCCCTGATAGAAACTAGACTGGACTGTTCTCCGTGGCGGTAGATGACAGGACAAGGAGCAATGGGCTCAAGTTGCAGCAAGGGAAGTTGAGGTTGGATATTAGGGGAAAAAATTCTCCCCAGGAGGGTGGTGAAGCTCTGGAGCAGGTCACCCAGAGAGGTGGTGCAGTCTCCATCCTTGGAGGTTTTTAAGACCCAGCTAGACAAAGCCTTGGCTGGGATGATGGAGTTGGGGCTGGTCCTGCTTGGAGCAGGGGGTTGGACTAGATGTGACCTCCTGAGCTCCCTTAAACCCTCATTTTCTATGATGCTTTGAACTGTGTAGGCAGTCAGCAGCAGTTCTTGCTGTCTGGCAGAAGCTACAAGCATCGCGGCACTGAACATCTGGACTTGGTCTGGCCTTTGGACGCCAGCTCAGGGGTTTAAAGAGGGGATGGTAGGTCAAGGGCAGCCTCTACTCCCATACTCTTGCTTAGGTGCATGCATCAAAGGTCCTGATGTGATGGGCACCAGACTCTGTAAGGGGCATAAGGAACCTGAGGCAGCTACCAAGACGTGTGTGTATAACATCTCTTCCCCAGCTGGTGTAGCCTGAGCTAAAGTTTGAAGGCCGGTAATAGCCAATGCACCGAAGAGAGCAAATCCCATTCTAAACTCAGACTTGTTTAGTTAATGAAGTCTCCCTTGATATGAAGGTGAGAGGAGATGCAAGCTGTAGTGATCTGGGAGCCAGACAGAGGAAGGACAACATGGAACCGCAGATCCAGACTTGCAAAGTTGTGCTTAAGGCATTTTCCATGCCAGGAAAAGGAGAAGTTTAGGGTGAGGTGTCATGCTTGGTATTATTGTGTCCATTGAAGAACCTGCACCAGAATACCTTCTTGGAAATGGTGTAATGCAGATGGGTCCAGGAGTCAAATGGCATTTAGTAGTAGTGGGGTATACATGGAGTAAGTCAAGGGAAACAAAAAATTGATGCCTGCCCAGAGTCGGTTTCTCCTCTGACTTACCCTTGATTTCCACTTCTATATCTGCATTGAAGGTAATGGACCAGTGCCTGTAACCCCTGTGTCAGCACATGAAGTCACCGGGATAAAGGGATCAGGCCTCAGTATTTATTATTTATCAGCTGATATTCAATCCGGTGCATGGTCGGGACATTAGCAGGCTGTTTCCCTCCTGCGCTGCTTTTATTCCAGGAGTCAAAAACGTCCTGATGAATTATTCGCTAGTATAGCAAAGTGCTCATCAAGGGTTTTCCTTACAAGGGACGTGAACCAATTTCAGGCCAGAGCATTATTAGTTACACACGCCCATGCATAATTTAGCGCCTTAAAGCTGTTTATAAATATTTAGTGTCCTTTATTCCTGAGCTGATTGTATTGCCTTTTGCTGGGGTTTGCTGTCCTGGCGTCAGCCCTGAATTATTGAGAAGAGTTGCAGAGGAATTCGCCTCTGGCAGGGCTATGGTGGGAAGCAGTCGGTGCTACAGGGGCCTGATTCTGATCTCAGTGATGTTGTCTTACACTGAGCTTGCTAGAGCTGCGGGTGCAACTCGAGCCAGGTAATGCTCGTTATTTTCTGCTTTGTCCGTGCAAAGCTTATAGCACTTGAAATCCTGTCCTTGAGTCCATGCTTGGAAACCTGTGACCCCCCTTCTCCTCGTCATGTTAACACGAACCTTGCCTTATCTGTAGGTCAACACAAGAGGAGCTATCAGCTGACTGTTACAGAAAGGTAATCACGGGATAATTCCTAATAACAGATCCAATCTTGATCCTGTTAAAGGGAATGGAGGTGTGGGATTGGGCCCCTATCCTGCTTCCCTGAGCTGTGTTAGAAACCAAAAACTTTAGATCATATTCCTCCAGAAAACCAGTCGGCACCTCTTAGACTGTGCCCCGATGGAGTAGCAGGCGGACATCCCGAGGGCTCTGCGTGGGGTCCTCCAGGCAGCCTCTGAGGGATGCATAACCCACATCAGCTTTGCATCTGGTCCTGTGGGACATATTGCCCAGAGACTTGCCTCTCTTCCTGCCTGCCCAGGTGTAAATCCGGTGTAACCCTTCAGCATTATCTGGGTGCAAGGAGAATCCATCTCTCCTGGCTTGAATTTCCTCTTGCGCTTTTGCACTGGTCTGTCTAGAGCTGAGAGAAAAGGACATGGAGGGGAGGCCTGAGTTTTGCCGCAGTTAAAGGGTAATTCATTGCTCTCTCTGGCCACAGGAGATGGGAGAAGTCGTGGCCTTGAATTGCAGTGAGGGGGTGTCCCCAGGGTGGCTCCACCGCCTCCTTTCTCCACGTGGCTGGCAGAGCTTGCTTGAGAGCGGCACAGAGCAGTGGTGTAGACATCCTAAGGACGACCAGCTTACACCATCCGCTATGGTTTGAATCGGCCTTTCACACTTCGCAGGCTCATGGAAAGGAGCCAGGCACCCTGGCAAGCGTCAGGACGGACAACCGGTTTTACGCCGGCCGACTCGAGCGGCTGATCTGACCCACCGGTTCCTTTCTCTCTTCCACTTCCAAGGGTGTAACCCAAGCCCCTGGGATCTGACCTAGCGTGCTTCCCCCTTGCCTTTGTCAGCTGCGCGGCTAATCGCGGCGCTTCTCGTTACAGCACGAAGCCCTCTGAAGACCCGGAGAAAGCTTTCAGTGGCGTAGAAGGAGAAAACGGCCTTTTCACTCTGTGAGACAGACCTCGCTGCCTTGGGAAAAGTGTCGCAAAGCCACGGGCATCGAGAAGAATCTCCTTTGTGCTCTGCTGAGAAATAAAGGCGACTTCCTCACTCTCCCTGGCAGCTACAATGGGTGCAAACCCCAGGCGCTTCAACTGTGAAGAGTTTAAAGTCTGGATGTAAATTTTGCCTCTCGCTGGGTGCATCTACACGTTCGTTAATGCACAGTAGTTAATGCCCATTTAGTTTAGTACTTGCTTAATGAAGTGCTAACTAAATGCACAGTAGTGGTGGTGCACCGTTGTTTTGTGATGCTTACTGCACAGTAGTCTAAATAACGCCACACAGGAGCAAATTAGCATCGTTTTTGACCAGTGCGCTACTGCGCGGTGTTATTAGGCTACTGCGCAGTAAATGTCTCCTATTCTTAAGCCACAGACCTGGATCCCCTCGCTTCAGAGTTACCTTAACATGTGAGGGCAATCTTGCTGATGCTGCAAGAAGTATTTAGGGGTTTAAAGCGACGTGCCCGCTACTAACAGCTGCTGCTGCATTGGGTCCTGTCTTACTGCTACCTTGTGTTTCCCCCTTATTGCACTCACCTTCCTGCCTGAATGCAGCCTGGCGGGGGGCAAACAGGCAAGAGGCAGCCCCTGGGTGATTAACAAGTGTTGCTGTGTAAAAAACAACCAATGCAAAACTTAGTTCACCTGTGACTTTTGTACCTGGAGTGAAAACCACAACACGAACAGCACTGGTCTGAAGCGAGAGCGTGCAGACAAGGCCCTGAGCATGTCCCGCGCTCACGATAGTTCCCCGAAAAGGCTGGGTTCATGAGAATTAGCGTTTTCTGAACGAAGATGTGAGCCAAACCTTGGCATTGTGAAAGTCTTTGAGTCTTTAATGACCGCAATGTTTCCCCACCGGAGGCTGCAAGGTGGTTTCTGTTCCTCATAGCGCTGCTCAAAGGGGGTGAAGGGAGGACAGGATCTCCTGACGGTGGCATCCTGGGGGCTTTCGGGAGAGACGGTGTCGGTAGAGGAGGGAGTGGTGGCGTGCACAGGGAGAGCATTTAAAAGGCATTAGGGGACTCTCCTAGGGGACAGTGTGTGCCTAGCGCAGGGAGGGGACACCCAGGGGGCTTTAAATGAACACAGAAACCTTTGCCTTGCTGTGCTGGCATCCGCCTGCCGCGTTGCTATTGTCATCAGCTCAATGTCAAAGCCTTCTCTTCCCTTCCCATACAAATCCCTGTAAATGCTGGCACAGGTTTGCTTGCAATGGAAGAGTTGCACCATTAAACCTCTCCTCGACTCTTCTCCTGGAAACCACAGCCCTCGTAGGACTGAAGGACAGCTTGACTGGTAGCTTGCCAGAGAGCAGAGGGTATTCGCACGACTGCAGCCATCTCCAGAGATATGACCTCCTTCCTTTTGTCTGCGTGGGAGGCAGAATACACTTGAACATGGGCTTACAATGGGATGGGATCTGTTTTAGATGCGAGAAGGGAGGTGAGTCTGCTGCACAGCCCAGAGAGAGGACGAGTTTGCCTGCGATGAACCCAAAATAGCCAAGCCAGGGGAATAATGAGACCAGGTTCTTTGGGCAGATGTGATCTCTGTTATTAGACCCACTGAATAGTTGGAAAAAATTGTTCTTTGCAAGCTTTCAGGCACAAACACCCAGGAAAGCGAAGGCATAGGGGAATAACAATGCATTTGAAGCACCGACAGTGCCTTCTGGAGCTGGCGTGGACGTGGCAGGATTGGCTCCTTCTGGTTGATGGGCGCCGATTTCCCGATCCATCCTGCCCAGGGCATTGCTCTGCCTCTCGGTGGGACGGCAGCAAGGGGAAGCTGGAGAAGCTGAGCAGAGAATTGGGCCCCTTGCCTCGACTCCTGTATCATTTGAGCTGGTTTTGTCTGCCCTCCGTGCCCCCATCCGCAGCAAGTGCAAACGTTACACGCGTGTTAGGGCTCAAGGAGGGGGAGCCTGCCAAAACCCGGTGCCATTTTTCAGACACCAGAAGTGAATATCAAGCAGCCTTTGATAATCAAGCCAGTCATTTGGGCATTTCAGGTTGGACCTGAGCTTTTAGACCTGCAGGGATAACCGGCCTTGCTCCAGGGACCACCCCGGGAGCTGAGATAATTGGCACCGACATAAAATATGGTCCGTTCTCTGCGGTGGCAATAACTGCATGGTTTTGTCTTAATATACAACATTGAGGCACTTCTGTAGCAGCCCCTGCATTGGGTCCTGTCTCCTCTTCCATCTTGACCGGGCCATGCAACAAATTTAATTAACATTTTCTTGCCAAAGGTTCAGAAAGCAGCGCGCCTTGCCCCGTGTGAGAGCTGTCCTAGAAATGCAGCAAAGAAGCTATAAAAACCTAACAAGTTTCCACCTGGGTCTCCCCCTGCACCCTGGATAGTTGCTGAGGCTCAGATCTGCATTTGCAAAGGCAGCTGGCTGGACCCCTGATGAAGCCAGGTGGGGCATATTTGTTGAGCTAATCACCAGGCATTGATACCAGGTGTGAGGGCCTCCAAGGAAAGGTTGAAGCTGCTTTTCTTTGAGACAACGGGAGCCAAAGAAATGCAGCTTTTGGGCCTAGTGAAAACCCAGGCAAAAGTAGTAGCAGCTTGCTGGGAAGCCCATCTGAAAATGAGTCCTTAGCCTTTGGGAACCCTGTCACTGCTTTTTGGATGTCAAATCAGCCCTTGAGTGGATATTACAGAAGATAAAGGATGTGTGGCTGCCAGGAGAGGCTCAGGTAAGCGCCTTAAAGCAGGGTTGTTGGAAGGGGAAGGGTCTGTTGTTTGCACTGTGCTACCCTAGGAGGGTTTGTTTGGGAAAGGCAGACCAGAGGAGTTTGCCAATGGATTATGCTGCTGATCTGTTTGCGACGTGGCCCTTTTGGGGATACAGGTAATTCCTGTGGCTTTGAGGGCAGAGTCCCGTGTAGATATTGCATGGCTGTCTTTCAGTTTGCACCCCTTCCCCCTGGTCTTTTCTATACCCAGCTCCATGCTCTTGGTTCTCTCGTGGCTGCTCAAAGGGTCGGCGTTACAGAAAACGGGGGTGGCAGGGAGCCGTTTCTCATAGGGTTAGTGATGGGGCTGCCCTGTCCAGCTGCCTGCTCCATGGTCCTGGGTGAAGGGGAGGCCAAAGGCACCTATCGAAAGGAGCTGCCTTTCCCCCTCAAAGTGATGGAGGGCTTGGCTGTTTGCTCCCTCTCCAGCCGGCTACCTGGAGGAGGAGAGGTAATAACAGCACTTCTGCTCTACATTTGCATAGCCATTTCCTTTCTGCATTAACACACAGTCCTTCTCGGCTGCAGCGTGACCATGTGCTTGCCTGAGGATCCCACGAGATCGCTCCCTCTAAGTCAGGAGCAGAAAAAAATCCTCCCCGTCGAAAAAATGTTTTGCTGCTGTTACAAGCATCGCAGTGGGAGGCTGCAGCGGGGCCCAAATGGGTTTTAATTTGTTCAGACTAGTGACCAGGATTATATCTGGGGAGTCTAAAGGGAGGACGGCTGGGCTGCGTGAAGCAATGCGGTTAATTAATCATGGATTCAGCTTGGGTCTAAGTCCTGGTTTTACACGGACCTTGGCACTTGTTGGCGATTGTCTGTATCGAAATGACCAATTTTAATTGGCTAAAGAAGGCCTGTAGCAGGGAGATAATGGCCTTACTCTCCTGATTTTTAGCATAGAGGAAGGATAGAAAAGTAATTAAAAGCTGAGATATTAATATTTGGGGAAATGGGATTGGATAATGAGAAAACAGGAAAGAAAAGTGCCAAGAGGGCAGGCAGCCTTTTAAATAGGAATATATAGTTGGTCTAATAAAAGAGATCTCCTCTACCACGAGTCCTGATTTTCCCACCCCCATCCTCTGCAGAGAAACTGGAGGGATGAATGAAAAGATTATTTCAAGAATATGAGATTTCTCTAACGCCTCATCATAGCAAACAGCTCTGTATCCTAGCTGTTTGCTTCTTGGCATTAGTTGGTTGGGGTTTGTTTTTAATTATTTTGTTAAGGCTAATCATATCCTCAGATAATGAGGATTGAAGGGAGCTCAGGGGGTCACTTCTAGTCCAACCCCTTGCTCCAAGCAGGACCAGCCCCAACTACATCATCCCAGCCAGGGCTTTAAAACCTCCGAGGATGGAGACGGCACCACCTCTCTGAGAAGCCTGTTCCAGTGTTTTACTGCCCTCCTACTGAGAGTTTTTCCTAATATCCACCCTCAACTTCCCTTGCTGCAACTTGAGCCCATTGCTCCTTGTCCTGTCAAATATACATGAAAGAAGGATTATAACTGGCATCTGAAGCAGGGCAAGCAGAAGGAAATGATGTGGTTTGGTATCTGGGGGAAACTCGAGATGGGAATAAATCCCACCGCAGGCACGAGAATGGCACAGCATGTGGTGGGGGGACATGACAATGAAGTTTTTTCACCGCATTGTCACCGCAGCAGCAGCAGATGGTGCGCACGAGCTGCGGATGCTCTGCGGAGCGGCAGCCAGAGCCAACCCAGACCGAGTCTCGGGTGAGGGTGGAGGAAGGGGTTTCCCTGGCCTGATCTGAAGCCCACTGACATCCCTGGGACTCTTTCCTTGCCTTCAGCAGACTCTGGGTCAGGTCCCACCTCCTGGCTGTGCTTGTCTTCATTTGCAATTCATCTAACCCTAAAATATCCCCGTGCCCACAAATCTCAGCCGTGTGCTCGCATCCTGAAGCGCTCCGTGACAGTCTAGCATTAGTCACGCATTGCATTATTTATTACCCCCCTTATTCCTTTTTGCTTTGCAACCTCCAGGAAGAGCAAATTATGGTGCTGAAGGCCCTTGCCTGGTTTAAAAATAGTCAGTTAATGGCTTGCATCTCTCGCCCTTCTTCTCCAGCTCAGAATAACTTGACCGCAGAAGCAACGTGCACCTCTGACCCCGGCCGTGGTGCTCTCCCCGTGCGTTGCAGCCTGCTGTCAAAAGGACCAGGCTTGGGCTGTTTTGGACCAAAAGGGAGGAGTGAGTTACAGAGGTTGGGGGGGGCCTCCATAGGGAGCAAGGAGTTCTTGCTAACTGAGCAGGGATTTGATAGCAGCCTTTAACTACCTTAAGGGTTGCCAAGAGGATGGAGGTGGGCTGTCAGCTGCCCCCACTGGAGACAGAACCACGTGCAATGGGCTCAAGTTGCAGCAAGGAAAGTTGAGGTTGAATATTAGAAAAAACTTTCTCCCCAGGGGTGAAGCACTGGAGCAGGTTACCCAGAGAGGTGGTGGAGTCTCCATCCTTTGAGGTTTTGGAGACCTGGCTAGACAAAGCCTTGGCTGGGATGATGTAGTTGGGGCTGGTCCTGCTTGGAGCAGGGGTTAGACTAGATGTGACCTCCTGAGGTCCCTTCAACCCTCATTTTCTATGATTCTAACTAAAACAGCCTTAGTACTCAGCCCCAAAAAGGAGACCTCAAGGGGGAGAGGCCCAGAAACCCGGCAGGGATTTGTGTTGAAAATGGAGAGGGACGAAGGGGTGGGGGTGTTAGCGACATTCATCAAAACCTTATTTTTTAAATTAAAAAAAAAATAAAAATGGACATTTCTTTTGAGAGGGGGAAATCCAACATTTTCCAGTGTAGGTAAAATAATAAATAAAAATCAAAGGATGATAAAATGTCTGGCTTTCATGGGAGAGGCAGAGTTTCTCGAAAGAAACTATAGAAGGGAAGTGTGTGCGCGCACACACGCTGTCACTTGCTTAGCTTGAAATAG